TCGGTCCGACTGCGCTCTGTCGTTTGCGTCACATTCTCCGAGTACCGGGGTGGGGCGGCGGCGTTACGGCCGTGGCCGGGCCGGTCAGTTCCGTGTCGGTCCGCTGACCCCGCCGGCTCGGCCGTCTACCGCCTAGCTCTCCGCGCCGCTGCCGGTCCGGCCAGGACCTCTGACGTCACCACACACGGCGGCCGCCGCACCCGGCCGCCCGCTCCACCAGTCTTAATTCGGCGCCGTGAATATTTTATCGGCTAATGGGCGGCCGGCTGAAAGGACGGCACCGGCGCCCGACTAATGGAAATTAATAATGTTGGCGCGGGATTCTGTGCGGGCCTGAAGGGCCGTGACGGCGCCGGTCACCGGGTCCGCTGGGGCTGAGGGCTAGTGATGGGCTCTGTCGGCATTAGCGCTGAAAGAACGAATGCAGACAGTGGTGACCGCGAACTGGACGCAGGGATCAGAAGACTGGCTGCGTAATGCAGCTCATGCAGACGTCGCGCCTACGATGGTAGGGAACGGATTGGTCTCGCATTGGTTTCGTTGCCTTCCATCAGGGCGTTGGCGATGGGCGTTTACCGCGTAGGGCTGGAAGCATCACTGGGTCACGGTGTGTATCCTTGTGCGCTAGCCGGGATGGACTGGTGTGGCATCTCGGTTCTACTGGTGATGGTTTGGACCGCTGAGATTAGACCTGCGTGGACCTGGTTGGACCCGAGTGAACCTGTATGGACCTGCGTTGACCCGTTCGTATTACGGTCGTACATTGAGCCGCTCACAGCACTGACACAATGACGGGTCTGCTGTGTGGAGGTGAGGCGACCCTGTACTGGCCGCGGTACCTGTGTGTGGACCTGTGCGCGGTACAGTCGCCGCCCACAGTGGCGTGACGTGTCGGTGCTGTGTGGAGGTGAGGCGGCCTGCACTGGCCGCCGCCGCTCAGCCGCCTTTGTTATCGCGCGCCCATTCGTGCCGGTATGCGCAAAATTGGCCGCAATCCGGCCCAGCATCGGCCGACTGACGTGCGCTCTGGCGGCGGAGCGGGGGCACGGGACCGACAGACAGGCAGACAGCCGCCTCCTCACCTGTCTGCTCTGAGAGCAGCCTCGGCCAGAGAGGGCCGGACACAGTCGGAATTCCATAGGACAGGGCCGTGTGTCAGTTGCTGGGGACGGTGTGTCTGCTCGTCATACCGTCATACTCGTGTGTCATACCGTCCGTTGCCTTGCATTCCGGAGGTATTAGGCACTCTTTTCATTAGCGAGATGACCCATTTTCATTCCATAAAGGTAATTTCGGTATACGAGGCGTGTCTTGATGTGTCCCTCGGCGCGTGTTATGCTCGGACCCAGCTATGTAACAGGGTGGCTCGGCGGTGCACTAAGTTACCATTGAAGTGCCCCACAGGTGTCCCGTGCACGACGTGGTATTTAGCATTGTGTAACCACGCGGGGCGTTGGCTACAGGTGACAGGTCGGGACCGATGCGCCTTATGCACCTTGGACATCCACTAATACATTTACCGGCTTATTGACGGTTTGAATTGGAAGGTCTGCATGTTTTGTCTTGAACCATTGCTGGTTCATTAAGTTGCCGATCGTTGGGTCTTCGCATCATATCACTCCCTATATCTTTGGATGTTCTGGCTTCGAGACATGTGGAGCATATCGTTTCTCCTTTTTTCCTCACGCGTTTTGGCTCAGTTCTCTGATCCTTTCCATGCCCTTTTCCCTTCCCTTTGTGTTTTGCCTTATGTCGGTCGCTCTCTGCTCCCTGCTCCCTGCTCCCCACCTCTGCCCGTCTCGGTACCGCTGGTGTCGGCGTCGGCGCCACTTCCGCGTCGCGTGCCCGTGCGACCCCCGTCTAATCCGTGTAATTGTCTCGTAATGGAATCGGTCGTCCCTACCGGTATCGACCGCGTGCCCGGGCGATGGCGCTGCCGATGGGACGCGGTGCCGCGTATGACGAGAGGCGGACCCTCCGTGACGCGGGGATAACCTCCCGGACGACGGAAGGCCGCTCTATCGCCGTCGCTCAGCGCCGATGGACCGATCTCGGGACGACTCCACCCCGCCCCGTCCCCACCCCGCCCGGTGAGATCGGCGACCGAGTGCCGACAGCCTCCGCAGATGAGTTGTTTGCTGCAGATTAGTGGTTGATGGGTTTTGTAGCGGTCCCCGGCTGATGGAGTGTTAACTGATAGCCTAGGCGGTGGTAAGTTGGCAGGCGTTGATACTCAGCAGGCGACTGGGTGATGTCACTGGCCGTGCCCACACACAGCTAGTCTCCTATTGGCTGCTAGGTGGGCATGACCAAGGCATGACAGTATATGATATACACCTGGGGATGGTGGGCGGGTTGCAACGGTATTGTGACGGCTCGGGTCGCCGGCGAGGTGAGACGTTGTTGGGAGTCGGGTCACGCCCGCGTCCCCGAGCCCCGTACCTACCCTGGCTGGCCGGTGCAGCGGTGCTGATCTCCCCGTGAGGTGATGACGGGATCTCCCGGAGTCATTGGATGGATGGAGGGTGTGACAGCGGCCGACACAGGACTGTTCATTTCGCTCAGATGTCGGTGGGATCTACTGATGACTGAGCCGGGTATTATGGGGAGGCTGTCTGGGAGATAGAAGCCAACCTTACGTGCCGTGCGCAGTTCGAATGTTTATCACACAAGGTCTTCATTAAATGGATGACTGTCTGAACTTGAGCGTGATTTGCATCACAAGACCCGCTTCTAAGAAACCATTGTCGATTCATTCGGCACCATCCATTGTGTTTGATATAATGTGAGCCAAAAATAACTCGCTGTGAAATCACTTCATACCAACATTTGCATTTAATTTATGGCCGCCTAACCAATAATGTTCCGCTGAGGAAGTCCGCACCAAAGCTTGCTGAACCGTATCCGTGCTCCGCCATGAGGCGCCATCCGTAATTATCGTTCTGCTGGTGGCTGTTGCCACAGCTACATCCGCGGCCCTTACTGTGCGCGCTGCGAGATCCGCTGGTGATGACCGACGCCACCCTTTGAGACGACAGTCGTGCGCTGTTCTGGCCCATGTTCTGCCCTGTGCTGGATAAGGTGTTATCCCGTCTCCACCCCCGACCCATGGCCGTCAGCGCCCGGGTGGTCGGTACCGCGGGCTCAGGGCGGACCGTGACTGCAGCCGGCACCCCGCTGGCACCCCACTGACCCGGGCCGTGACCCGGTGCAGTATGACTGACCCGGGCCGTGACCCGGTGCAGTACACCCTCTCCACTGCACCGCGCCGTATCGGCCGGCTGACCCGGGCGGTGACCCGATGTGGGCCGCTGACTGCGAACCGGCCCCTCACACCCGTCACTCTCCGTTGCCTAGAATATATCCCGTGTGTCTGCCGCCAGCCATCCATTCGCTCAGACACTAATGTCATGTCACTTTATAGTGCTATTGCTCCCCGCTCTCCGTATCTCTCCCGTGTCTGTCTCCCACCCGTCCCACCCTGTGTCTGGCTGGCCCCGTGCCGGCGGCGATAGTGGCCTGTCGCTGGTCCGGGGGCCGGCTGCGTGACACTGCCGTAATGGTGTGTCCGCCGGCTGTCTGTCGCTCTCCGTGCGCTCCTGTGTCCGGCCGGTGACGGAGAGGGACCAGTTTTTGCCTGCCGGACAACGGCTGCCCCGGGACGCTGCAGCTGCCGGCATCTGGATCAGACCAGATCTGATGAGGTCGGCCAAACTGACCACATCGAACCATGTCTGTGGATGTCCTACAGAGACCAGACAGGGGCGAAAAAGGACTTGACAGCAACTAAGTGTAACGAAGATCACATGGGTTGGCTATGGGTCGGCCGTGACAGCGACATCATTAGTACAGGGTGTCCGAATAGTTCTGGCGCTTTTCAACATTTTCTAAAACAAATGCCATTGGTTCATAGATACTAATCAATGGATCAAAACAATGACCAGGGACACCAAGCCACATGCTTCCGCTACGTGCTCATTCAATGTAACCACCGTCGGCGCCGACGACGGCCTCGACGTAGGGGAGGAAGCGTCTGCGGGTTTTGACGATGCGGGGCATTTCCAGGTCCTCCCATGCTGTCATGATGCGAGTCTTCAGCGACTCCAGGTTGGGGTGAGAAATGGCCTAGATCCTGTTCTACAAAACGCGTAGCACGCCTTAGTCGAGCGGGTCAGGTTAGGAGAATAAGGCGGCCTAATCTCATTTCGCCACGGTGATCTGGCCCGGCAAGCTCCTCTGTCAGTTTAGCTTGAATGGCGGCGGCGTTGTTGGAGGGTGCTCTGTGCTGTTGAAATGCGAAGTGACCCTTAGGGCATGTCGTCTTGACCCTCGGGTTGATGTGGCTGTCCAGGAACCCCTCGTGGGCCAGCCTGTTATTCATTTATTCGACATTGACGAAGATGATGGGACATTTTTGTCCATCAGACCCCCGCACTTTCTTCGATTGCCGCGTTGAAATGCTGCTCCGTTCCCATATCGCGTTCGAAACGGTCTGAGGATATTTTTTAAGGAATTCCCGAGTCGAAATAAACCTTTACCTGCTAAACCATTCATCGAAAAACGCCGCATCGCGCTGCAACTCGCGCCTCGTTCAAGTCGCACCCGGCCGCCGCGCGCAGGCATTCAGCGACAAGGCGCATCTTCGCCCATCTACCCATCACTGAAAACGATTTCAAGGTCATATTTACACGACCCCTGGCTGAGCAATCAACGAGGGGTCATGTCTGTGATGATTGGCTGAATGTCCAATAATCACAGCGCGCGTTACACGGCGTCCAAAAGAAGCGCCAGGACTTTCCGGACACCCTGTATACCCAGCTGAAATAGGTGCTTACATTTCCTTACCTCTTGCTTATCTGACCCCCTCATGTGACCCACCCTGGCTCGATGAGTTGAATGGTTGTGACCCGCTGATTTGACCTGTCAATCTGCTGATCTGACTGGTGTAGGTGACCTGTCCCAGACCCGCTGATCTGACCCGCTCTTCTCGCTCCCCTCAGGTCGGACGAGGAGGACGGCACGCCCAAGTACGGCCGGATGGACGACGACGGTGTTCAGGAGAAGGAGCGCTATGCCAAGTGAGTGGGGTTCCCGTGTGCGCGGCTCCCCGGCCCGGCCCCGGCCGCCGCGACAGGCGCAGCGCGCGCAAGATGACAGCAGTCCTCACGGCTCGATCCAGAGCAGCACGCCCGGCGGCTCCCCACGGCCCGGCCAGCGGGAGCACGGGCGAATTCCAGCGACAGGGGAGAGATGCCGCCGCCCGGCCATACCGTTTATTTCCGGATGGCTGGCTGGCCGGGCGGCGGCGGCAACTTTTCCGATATAGAGCGGCTGGCGCCCGGGTGTCTGGCCTCCCCTCCCCGCAGCGGGCTCTATCATGCTTAATATATCTCCCTATATGCGGGCGTAAGTGAATGGGGCCGCCGCTGCGGCGGACACGTCCCGGCTGTAAGTTAGCCCTAAGGCAATTATGCCCAACTCGGTAATGCGCCGGCCTGGCTGGCCAGTCCGACTGTCCCGGCCGAAGTCGGCGGGAATAACTCAACCGGACAAAACGGCAGCGCCGCGGCGCCGCCGCCTGACGGATGGACAGGAGTGGCGCCGGCAGGGACGCGGGACGGGTCGCCCGGCCGACGTGCTGTGGAACATGTACTTGAAGAGACCCACAGCCTTACGCAGTCGCAGGCTGTTCATAGTGTGTCATAGTTCTTATGAAAATTAGTACTTAGCACACACTGCTCGGCTGACGATTGCCTTAGTAGCTAAACTGGAGACTGCGGTTTTTCGATCGGGTTTATCTGTCAGGCTGACATACCGCCGGATGCCGTGTGGGTCACTGCCAGCTGGCATCCGCGTCATGTATGAGGAACGGCGGGTCCCGACCGCCCGTTATGTTTATCCGCAGCACAACCGAATACCATAGTAATGGGTGACAATCCCCTATGGCACCCATGACTAGTATTTTGTCATTCAGCTGACTGTCGAGAGTCGAAACGATCTTAGAAATGAACGATTCAAATTTTCAAAAGGTGAACAATTGAGACCAAAGTATTCCGGTGTATTTAAAATGTGTAATCAAACGTATATCTAAATACTTGTGGTGTAGGTGCATATTGTGCAGACAGCTTTCCGCATTGTCCATCTTGAATCATCGCTACCAGCGCGATTTCACCGAGGAATGATAATAGCTTTGATATGCTGTTAATGAGATGCCCGAATGGCTTCTAATTTGAGCAGTGCTCGGTTAATTCGCAGTACCGCGCAAAACAGGAATCCTAGTGAATAGCGCTGCATTCAGTGAACTTCTCAATTTGCTTGGCAGAATGTCAAAGTTTAGCCGGTAATATTTGCAACCAGTCAGAGATACAGTCAAAGTTTCCGAATGCATTAACCCAAACCACTTCCGTTGGAGGAACTCTTCAAATCAAAGCCCGACGCTCTGTATCGTTCGTCGTCCATAAGCCGCGATCAGGCTGTCCAATTTTTATTCGGGCTCTGCTGAGGGCTGTTCACGGACCCTGTGTGCGGTCGGACCGCACACAGCCTCCAAGCTCCGCCCACTGCGTCCCTACGTCAGCCTTGCGTCACCGCACACAGCGACCGCTGTGGCCGGTCGGGACTGGCCACAGCGGACCGTCCACCGCACGCAGCCGTGACGTCAGAGCCACCTACCCATCCCCTACCCCCACGCCTGCTGGACGTACCGCACACACCGCACGCAGCAGTGTGCGGTGCCCGTGAACACCCCCTGAATTTACGGTGGAAAGCTGTGAGCGGCGGCTCGGCGAGGCGCGGTCACGTTCGCGGCCTGCCACTAGCGTTATGAGTGCATGGTGACCTCTGACGCCGGCCGGCGGCGTCCCGTCGGGGCGGAACTGGTTCCGGGAAGCGGGCCGACCCGCGTCCCTGCCGTGCCGGGCGCGGAAATGAGCCCGCCCGAGCCGACCGGCGGCGCTCCTGTGCCGCTCAGTCGGCTCCCTCTCTGTGCTCGCTCGGCGTCGATAGTCGTGTGGTCACCTTGGTGGTCGTCGAGCTCCGTATTGGTGCTGCAATACAGCGCGTCCGCCGCGACTTCCTCACCGCTGTTTCTTTCCTTTCTTTTTCCGCTTTCGGTCTTGTTTTTATGCCAATTAGGTTTGGTGGCGGCTCGCTGGAGGACCGCACGCTCGATCAAACTTCCGAAACTTCTCCGTCTCCGCTGCCGCCTTCCGCGTCGTTTGGCCGCGGTCGCTGCGACAAACTTGTCGCGAATATCACGGCCGCGCCGGGACCGTCGCCGTGCAGCGCGGCGGTGCGTCGGGGTAGGGCGGCGCGCGGGGCCGGAGCCGGGCCGGGGACCGGGGGCGGGTGGGGGGTGTCACTCTTTTCGGGGCGCGACCTACCGCCTTGGCCAGTAACACGGGCTCCACGCCTGCCTCCAGGGAGAACCACTGCGAGATCGAGCGACGCCGCCGCAACAAGATGACGGCCTACATCTCGGAGCTGTCCGACATGGTGCCCACCTGCTCGGCGCTGGCCCGCAAGCCCGACAAACTCACCATCCTGCGCATGGCCGTCGCGCATATGAAGAACCTGAGAGGTAAGGTACCGCGCATGCCAGCCGTCTGTCCATGGAGAGGTGTGTGAGCTGTGTAACGTATATCTATATCCAGCCCCTCGTGCAGTGTGCATGAGGGGCTGGATAACGGTCTATTTGGATAGTGGATGGATGCTGGTGCCTGGTGGTGTGCGTAATGGGCGTATAAAGGCTGCCTTGTCTTGGCACGTCGTTTATGATTGTTGGTGTGATACCAGACATGCTGTTACACTGCGTGTAGTGTGGGGCTCAGACACCGAACGGGGACGTGCCCGTGCGTTATCACACCGCTGTTGCCCGGTTTTTGTTGCACCAATTAGCATGAGGCAACGACGTGGCAGCGTACACGAACGCAACACGACCTTGACTGTAGAGCCTCGCGTACACCCGTCACCACCAGCAGCACCATCACCACCGAATGCAATTTGGCGCAGCGCTGAACTACAGACTGCACACGGCTGCGTTACGCGCGCCGTGCAGCTGCATTGGGCAGCGGCATGGGCCGGCACGGCCGCTGCCGACCTAGCCCAACAGTTCTCACCCATTTATGGTTTGCATAAATCAGCGCTATTAGACCGCACCGTGATTACGTGATGCGGCGGCGGCGGCGCGGTGGCGGCGGCGCTGGGTGGTCGACCGGCCGAGTGGGATGTGGCTGTGAGTGACTGTATGGACGATGTTGAGTGGTGGCTGGCTGTGGTCGGTAGAGCCGGTGTATGGGCTGATTTGTATGGTGTTGGGGTAACCTGTACTGGCGAGTGCCTCCTGTGCTGCCCTGTCCTCGCGATGGTTGGATAGTAACGCTGTCGATCACGATGCGAGGTATTTTTGGCCCTGTCTGGCTGTCTGACACAGCCGTCACCGGCTGACGGTGTCGTCGACTGAGGACCTCCCGTCTTGCTGTCGAGACCTCCAGACAGGCCGCCGAGGCCTTGGACCTCCACGTCGGTGCAGGGGAGTCATAGGGCAGTGCTATGTGTGTTACGGGGCGAGTGCACGCGGCCTGAGTACCCGTGCCGTGTGTCTCGTGGATCGAGGGTCAGCCCCGGGGCCGTATGCACCATGCAGTGACGAAGGTGCGGACAATTACTGCCCTGGGGCCCGCCGTCCGCGACTGGCTATCGGCCGATCGGGCGGCGTGTCGCCACCGGCCGGCGGCGTGCCGCGGCCGCCCGTATCGGCGTCAGTTCGCCGCCTCTCGCCGGCCGGCCGGCCCGCCGTCGGCCAGCTGGGGTGCCGTGTCGGCGCCGGCGGACGGGTGACATCCGTCAGCGGCGTCCGTCAGCGCGGCGGCCCGACCCGGACCCGCAGCCGGACCTGGCCGCCACCAGGAGAGGCGCGCCGTGCCGCACTGGCCGCCACCGCGTCAGGAATGCCGCCTCGGCTGTTTTTCGGCCGGTGCGCCGCGCCGCTGGCCGGCCGACCGACTGGCGTCCGTTGCGTGCCCGTCCGTATTATTGGATCCATATTTTATGGAACAATCATTGGAGTTATTACAAGCGCGGCCGACGGCGGCTGGGGTCGGGTCGGCCGGCCGACCGGCGCCGGGTCTCGCGGTCCAGATTGGAGCCGGCGGGCCGACCGGGCCCATCGCACCCCGCCGTCTCCGGCTGCAACTGAACACGAGCTGTTTAGTGAGGGGTCTGGCGGTGGACCCGTGCAAAAGGCGGTCATGAGTCCGTTACAAAACCCTCCCCCCTCTCCGGCAGTTGTTTTAGAAAGTGGTGGACACATCAATAACTCACCCGTATATTCATTTACTGTAAGCTGCGATCACACTAACGTTCATTCAGGGTAAGCATAAAATGCCAAGCCGAAACAGTGTCAGCTCATAAACGGCGGCGGCCTCAGTGTGCGCGGCTAAATTGATGGCGCCGACTATGGGCCGTGAATTCGGAACGGGCCGCCTGCAGTGCACGCGGCGTACGTGTTGAGCCGGCCGGCGGCGGCCCTACCTGCTTATTAGCCGCTGAATTGCGACAGGTGCCGGCGGTGTAATAAGTGGTGCCGGCCGGCCGGCCGGCGCGGCGCCGTGCAGCGGCTAGCGGTCCGCCGGCGGAGGGCGGGCCGCCGGCCGGCACGGACACAGACGGGGACATGGACAGAGCGGACACCCGGCTGTCCAGTGTCCATGGCAGCCGCGGTGGCCACAGTGTAGCTGCAATACGTGTGTGGAGCGCCGCCCCTTTGTGTGATGGCGGTGCGCTCTGCACAGGCGTTCCCTCACGATCTTCGCTCGCTGGACAGGAGTAGAAGCTGAAACCAGCGGGGCTGACCCAGTTTCATCGCGGGTCTCGGACAGCACCTAGCCGACCTTGCTCTGAACCTCGCACCCGACTTCGGCCGAGTCACAATGCCACACTTGTGCAACGGCCGGTGTGAGCCGTGCACGGCCCAAAGACCTGTTTGGTACGCCGGTCCGGTATCGGCCGAAATTCAGCCGTCGATATTGGCGGCTGAGTGCCGACATAAAGCACGCCTTGCGTGTCACCCTGAGTGATGATAAACGGCGTGATACAGCGACTGACGGCTAGATCGACGAGTGTGCTGTACTGACAGCTTTTCCTTGTATTTTTGTCCCTGTGAATTTGTATGCGTTGTACTTACGTGTCAGAAAACATCAGTGATTGGTTTCTTTGTGGTTGTGATAGTAGCCGCGTGGTGTGTTCAATGTAATTTGGGATGTGTTTTGAGGCCTGTTATGCACCATTGAGTGAATAGTGTGCCTTGCATAACAAGGCAGCCGCCGAAGAGGCACGTTCTGTGTGTATGTGATTTGCGGCCTTTGCGTTGCATGCGACGATAGGGAGATGTGACCGCATATGTGCGCTGCTGTTGTCCTGATAAATACTCGACCGTCCCATGTCAGCCAGTGAACGAAAAGCTGTTTGACCGTCTCATATCAGTCACTGAATCAGAAGTTGTTCATGACAACTTGCAGTTTTTGTATTTTATGTTTCACTATGTAGATACATTTTGTCCATTTTGCCGGTTAATAACCATTTTGCTCAGCTATTTTTTCCACCGCTATCTTTTGTTTTATGTTTTTGAGTGTCTGCGCGTGCTGTAAACCGGAACATGATTTATTGAACAGACTTCACGACATTTGGATTTTTACTGAGTTTTTCCTGTCGTCAAGAATATGGTTGCTGGAACCCGTTCGTTGCTATGCCAAACTTGGGGCATGGTACGCCTCGTTGCCGTCACCGTAATTATATTCTGTATCAATCATATTTGCCAATCATTTTCCATTGACTTCACAACTAACACTTGCCTTTCGCTAACCCTTTTACGACTTTTCTAGCTAGATCTTGGCGGTATGATACACGATTTCTGTGTGCATCGCACCCGTTTCTGACCGGCGCCCTTCGTCCACCAGGCACGGGCAACACCACCGCCGACGGCGCGTACAAGCCCTCGTTCCTGACCGACCAGGAGCTGAAGCACCTGATCCTGGAGGCCGCCGACGGCTTTCTGTTCGTCGTGGCCTGCGACACGGGCAGCATCATCTACGTGTCTGACTCGGTGACGCCGGTACTGAACCAGAGCCAGGCCGACTGGTTCGGCGCCAACATCTACGACCAGCTGCACCCGGAAGATGTGGAAAAGGTACGGCGAGAAGGGGTGTGGGGAGCGCTATGCTGTAGGGATAAGAAGACTTGGAAAGATACGGCTCTGTTCAGAGGACGGGAAAAAGGTACGGCACAGCGAGTTAGGGTGTGGAGAGCGATGTCCCCAGACGTGAAAAAGGCACGGCACGACAGGGGAAAGTCTTCAAAAGTAACATGATTTCAATGTGAATACCGTGTCAGTTCTTGGCACGCTCCCCAAGGTGTTTGTTTGGGTTTCCGACTGAATCTTTTTCAGTCGAACTGCCGTCTATGGTAAATGAAGTGATTTGCATCATTATTTTCGGAAACCTTAAATGAGCGGTCGCGTGATATCGAGTTAATCAGCGGGGGAGCGCCAGGCGGCGTAAAATATGCATGTTCATTGTGGTTTCAGACCAGGATACTAGTGGCGGTGGTCCGTATAAGGCGTGATGGTTATGTTGGCTGTCAGACAGACCCGTGCCCGAGTGTCCTCTGTCCTGTCACGGGGGCGGCGGGAGCTCTGCGGCGATAGCGCAGACTCGGTGTAATAGCGGTACCGAGGAGGGCGCCTGTGCCCTGCTGTCTGACCGCATCTGACGAGTCCCGTGGTCTTTGACAGGTTCGTGAACAGCTGAGCACCCAGGATACGCAGGGTTCCGGTCGCATCCTCGACCTGAAGACGGGCACCGTCAAAAAGGAGGGCCATCAGTGTGAGTAAACGCAGTGCACAGCCAGTATCTCAAGTAGCCACCTATGGGAACACACGAATCTCCACCAGTGCGTTCTTCTGATCCAGCGCCTCCGTCTCCTGGCCCCGTAAACACTGCTCTGGGTCGCCCAAGACACTTTTACTTTCCACTCTTCGGTTTCTACTCTCTCGGCTCCCGGGTTCCGTCTCTCGTCCCCCGTTGTCCCGCGGTTCCATGACCTGTACAAGAATACCCCATGAAGAGACATTGTTGAAGCCCAGCGGGCTCCGGGTGCAGAATTATCCGTTGCCGGGCGGTGCTGCGGTGAGCGGTGACGGCTCGACGGACGGACACGGGAGGCGACTCACTCGGCCGCCGGCGGGCCGACCCTAATGACTCCGCCCGACCGGACAGGCCGGCCGGACGGCACGCGACGCGACGCCGCCGCAAAAACCGCCCCTAATGGCGGCCGGTCGTGCCAGCCGGCCGGCGACACCGGAAACCTGGCCGAGGAGCGATCAGTGTGCCACTGGAAACGGCTGGAGACCTGGCCAAGGAATGATCACTGCCACTGAAGACAGTGCAGAGACCTGGTCAAGGACCGATTAGTGTGCCACTGGTAACGGCTGGAGGCCTCGCCAGGGACCGATCACTGACACTGTGCCACCGGGGATAGACGGAGACCTTCCCAAGGAACCGATCACTGTGCTAGCGGGAGACCTGGGGCGGTAGCATATGATGGGCCGGAGCTGGACCGACCTGACCCGACCCGATGACACGGCTGAGCAATGAGCCTCTACTCAACGATCGCCGACGATCTCCATAGTATGGACGCCCGAAATCTTCACCCCTGCCCGAAATCTTCGCCCCTGCAGGATAGTAGTGTGACTTCGCCTCTGTAATATTTTTGAATGTCTGCTCCACTGACACCTCTGCCGCCGCAGCCGGTGGCCGCCGTCCAACCGCCTGTCCCGTTCAGCTCTCTCCCCGTTCTTGTGGCGTGACAAAATAGCGCGCCGCTGGGCTGCGTGGCCCCGTTTTGCTGTTTTGCGGAAGGCGTTGCCGTTGCGGTGTTTTTACCGTTATCCAAACACACCTTAATGATGGAGCGGTATTGAAAGAAGTTGGAGTGGCTATGCGCTCAGCTATCTCCTGGGGTTCTTAGTCAAACACTGCATTATAAATGCACGCACCGATTTGGGTTTGAGTTAATTATTTCACACCTCAAATGTAATGTACGTACATAAAAATAACGCCATCTTATTTATCTCACCCCGGCTTATCAAACCAACTTCTCCGCTGCCTGATATCAGTGTGTGCCGCCTTTCTCACACTATGATATCTGCCTACACCGGTCTCCTTTACCGCTCAGCGCTGACCTCTGCCCTTCCACAGCCACCATGCGACTCTGCATGGGCTCGCGGCGCGGCTTCATCACACGCATGAAGATCGGCAACGTGCAGCCGGACAACATGATGTCCGCCCACCTGAACCGGCTGCGCGGGCGCAACTCGCTCGGCGCCGCCACCGACGGCAACAACTACGCCGTGGTCCACTGCACGGGCTACATCAAAAACTGGCCGCCCACCGGTATGTGACTGGGTGCCGGGCGCCGGCTGCGGCGCCCTCCCTGCTCCCCACCGGGGAGGGAGGTGGTATAGGGATCGGGTGGTTGGCTGTGTACTGAGCTCAGATGGGAGGGCGTTGCCGGGTGCAGAAAGGGGTGCTACACCTGCAGGGGAGGGGGCGCTGGGTTATTTTATGGTGGTGTTCAGTTTACAGTTGTGATTATTGTTTGGCTTAGTTACCCGCCATAACTCAGAGGCTACCAACCTTCATACCTTGGGTACGACTGAACTCACCGCGAAATAAAAGCAAGGGATTGAGGGCACTCTGAAGCTGAGTTATACTGGCACTAGGTAGATATTTGTACTGGTGTTTGGTTGTCGTTCATCAGGCTTTTGCACGTCTAGTTAGCCTTGTCGCCTTGAAAGCTTGTCACCTTGTGCTATTTATTGAACCATACCGATCCTCGACCTCGTCCATCGGGATTGTGCCCCAGTCCACTGGTAGCTGTCTGTCGACTGGGAGGCCGTGCGGAGTGTGGTGGGTGAGGTCAGACCTGGTCCGCCCGTCACCTCCGCATACCTGTCCGTCGCCGGCCGCACCGACAGCCATTGTGTCTGCCCTCCGCGCCCGTGACCCACCAGGCTACAAACCCACCCATCCCACCAGCCTGTCCTGGGACCGGGCCAGCCGCGCCGGACGTGTCGAATGGGGACTCACCGCGGCCCATAAATCACAGCGGGACAATAATGGGCCCGGTGACAGCCTCGCTAATGCTGGATTGAATTCGGCAATGTTGACGTCACTGGCGATCCCCTGGAACTCCAGTGACGTCATACACGCTCACGTGAAACTCCGGTGACGTCACCCGGGGCGGAGCGATGTTAACCAGCAGCTGTGAGGCGGTCAGATGCGTGTTTTGTACGCGGCGATATGGGCACCAGGGTCCAGGTGGTTGTGTCGAGGGCCGATCCGACCATGATTTTACCGGGTTGTATGTTTATCATGAAGTTGTGGTTATTTATGGACGAGTCGGCCTGTTGCATTTTGTGTCCTCTTTGTTTTGTCACGGTGCGACACTACCCGGAACTCGGCCCTTTGAACGTCAAAAATGAAACAGTTGATAGCCAAATGGCATGGAATCTCGCCATAATCAAAATTAAGGTGTGCTAACGACTCATTCCAACATGGAAACATTATGTTGTCCGAATGCACGGTGTAGCGGCCCCACGTCCTCTTGACTAACGCGATGAACGTACTACATGTATTTCAACGGTTTCTGTCGGACAAACAAAATCATGACAATACAAAAGACGACAAACAAATAAAACTTAAATTCAGACGCAATTTCGAGCAAACACAAGCTTACACATACACATAAGCCATCAGGTCACCTAATGTAACAGAAATAACAACATAAAATAACGCAAACAACTACTCACCAAGAATATCATACAGACGCGGGTCGCTTTGTCTCAAATCGCTTCTTCGTATCGTTTTCGTTGTTCGTTTCGGTCACAGGTGTTTGTTTTGACGTCGTAGCACGTTTTACAGAGACAAATAACGTAAATAAACTTAACCAAAACGTAGCATACAATTTTCCAAATAAATAACTTAAGTCCTTACCGATCCATTCTAAGGGTCTACAAATTTAATCCACCACAAACCAAATAAAATTAGTGAAGCGCAAAATCGCGAGCTCGGCAGCATGTGCCGGTTATCGACAAAGATCCTCGCCGATAACACCCTCCCCTTTGTATCGTCGCAGCGATACAACATGCCCATGTGTACAACCGTATATCTAAATTGTCAATCCGCATCTGACAATTTCTGACAATGTAACTAGACATCATGGGCAATGTGTCTGCGGATCAGTCCTACGATGTTTCGTCTTCTGATAGTAGTTTCACCAACTTTTGGATAGGTCTCGTCAACTGTGTCCCGCGACAGAGAATCGTAACCGATCTTACCAGACCGTCTAGACTCGTTTTTACCGTCTGCACTCTTCCTATGGGCCACTGCCCTCTTGGTACTGCTGTGTCAACTAGGAGTACAACGTCTCCCTCTTTCAGATTCCCTCTACTTCGAGTCCATGCTCTCGGACGGCTCTGCAACAGTGGCAGGTATTCGGTTCGCCACCTCTTCCAGAAAAGTTCTGTCATATATCTGGCCTGTTTCCATCTTCTTATGCTGATATTATCAGTTTCTTGCCAAATTCCAGCTTGCAGATCTCCCCCTGGTGCAAGCAACAGTAAATGGTTGGGAGTGAGCGGTTCAGCATCCGTGGGGTCCATCGTTAAAGGAGTCAATGGACGGCTGTTGATAATACTTTCCGCTTCGCATAAGAAAGTTCTTAGCGTCTCGTCCGTAAGCAACTGCGATGAGAGCAAGGATTCGAGGACTCTTCTCGTGGACCTTATCATTCTCTCCCACACCCCTCCGTGATGTGAGGCACCTGGAGTGTTGAAAATCCACTCGATTCCTCGTTTTGCTAGTGTGTTATAGATTGCGTCTGAAGAGTGCAGTTTTCTCCATTCCCTTTTCAATTCGTTATTTGTTCCGACAAAATTTGTGCCGTTGTCGGACCGAATCACCTGCACATTGCCTCTACGGGAAATGAATCTTTTTAAGGCACAAATAAATGAATCTGTCGAGAGATTGTCAGCCATCTCAAGATGGACGGCGCGAATTGCTAAACAAGTAAAAATGATGCCATATCTTTTTTCTTGTCCTCTTCCACGTTTGACGAAGAATGGTCCAAAACAATCGACACCAGTACTTGTAAATGGAGGTTGCAACGCCTGAACCCTATCGATAGGCAAATCGGCCATTTTCTGATTCTCTGGCTGACTAAATCTTCTTCGACAGTGAAGACAGTTACTCAAAACCTTTCTCACAGCTTTATTTCCATGTATAATCCAAAACTTTTGTCTCACTGTGGTAAGAACGTGGGACAGTCCTTGATGCCCCAATTGCTCATGTACATCCTGAATGACCATGGTGGCATATCGAGAACTTGCGGGGAGGATGATAGGATGTTTCGCCGTTTCTGGTAGCAAGGCACGTTCGAGTCGCCCACCAACCACGACGAAGCCATCTTGTAATATTGGATTAAGTTTCTGCAAGGAACTAGATAGTTGAACAGGTCTGCCAGCTGCCAAATGTTTCCTTTCCGATGCATAGCTTGCCATTTGTTCATGAATCACTATCTCTCGCTCCCCAGCTTCCATCTCCTCGATGCTCAAATTTCTTCTCATAGCTCTAGGCGCTTCCTTACATAATAGTCTGTGACGAACTCTCAATAGCCAAGCTATTGCTCTAACCACTTTCCATCTGCTGCTGTAATAACTAAGAAGTGTTTCTACGGGATGTACGTCCAGCACGGTAATGACGTTTGTGCAGTTCGCTCTCAGATCAGTATTCGGAAGCTGTTCCTTTTTGCGCTCTCTTTTCACTTCAATGTCTTCTGTTATGTCCCCCAAATTATTGGGCGTCAAAGGCCATTCGTGGCTTTCTTTCCACAGAAATTCGGGGCCGGAGAACCACTCCTGGTTCTTACTGATGTCTTTCCCACTTGCTCCACGTGAAGCAATGTCTGCAGGATTCAGGGAACTTTGAACATACTTCCACTGGTTCGGCGAAGAGCCTTCCCTTATGACTGCTAGTCGGTTTGCAACAAACGTGTGAAAACGTGTCTTCTCGTTTCGAATATAACGCAAAACTGTGGTACTATCGGTCCAAAACCATGACTCAATTTTGGTTTGGAACGCGCTTTGAATCATAGCGTTCACTTTCACAGCCAAAGTTGCTGCGGCTAGCTCTATCCTTGGGATAGTCGTCCCTTTCAACGGTGCCAATCGTGACCGCCCGAATACAAAACCACAGTGAATATCACCTGCTTCGTTGACAACTCTGAAATAAGAGACAGTTCCGTAGGCGCGTTCACTACCGTCAGAAAAATGATGGAGCTGGCAAAATGCGTTCCTGAAAGACCGTGGCCTCAGACACCTAGGAACGGAAATGTTGTTCAAGACCAGAAGATCGTTTAGCCATTGTTCCCACTGCTTCTGATATGGCTTTGGAATGCATTCATCCCAGCCGACTTTGATTCTGCACAGGTCTCGCAATAGATGTCTTGCGATTAAAACGTAAGGGGAAATCAAACCAAACGGATCATACACTGAGCCTACGATTGCGAGAATACCGCGTTTGGACATGGGCCTTTCTTTTATGGCCGCCGAAAAACTAAAACTGTCAGTGTCTAGAGACCATTTTACTCCAAGAGCCTTCCGTGCAAGACCCCTTTCCTGATCAAATTCAATGCAACAATTGCTCTTGTCATTGTCCAAATGAGGAGAGAGCGCGCTGCAATTACTGACAAACTTTGTTAAGTTGAAGCCTCCTCGTGAGCATAATTCTATCAGCTCTTGACCGATCCTGATTCCATCGTCACCTGTTTCAACCGACTTAAGGCAGTCGTCAACGTAAAAGTTGTATAGAATGGTCTCCACAGTATCTGCGCTGAAGTGTGATCCGTGGTCAGTGGCGGCCCTTCGCAAGGCGTAATTGGCGCACGCCGGTGATGATGTGGCTCCGAAAGGATGTACAGTAAATCTGTATTCAGCTGGCTGATCAGTCAAGTCGCCACCAGTCCACCAGAGAAACCGTAAAAAGTCTCTGTCGCGATCGGGTACTCGTACTTGATGGAACATGGCTTCTATGTCCGCCGTAAAGCATACAGGAGCCCATCGAAACCGTAATAGTACGTCGATAAGGGAATTGGTTAAGTCGGGTCCCTGTAGCAATGCGTCGTTCAAGGACGTGCCTTTGTAGCTAGCTGCCGCGTCGAAAACGATACGAACTTTATGTGGTTTTTGCGGATGATACACCCCATGGTGTGGGAGATACCATTTCTTCCCACCTTTAGTCATTGAATCGAGCTCGGGTGCCCTTTCTATGTAACCCTTGGAGAGCATATCTGTCATAGTCGCCGTGTAGTGCTCTCTTAATCGGTTATCTTTCATAAGTTTCCTTTTGAGTCCCTCAAGTCTTCTTATTGCCAACTCCAGATTATTTGGGAGCTCGGGATTCGCCTGGCAGAATGGCAAGGCTATCTCGTAATGACCATCAGCACTCACTCTACAACTTTCTTGAACCATTGCCATCCATCTTCGATCTTCATGTGACATCCCCTTTGCGACGGAAAAATTTTTCTCTGGAAATTCTTGTTCATACATATTTTGTAAGGTCTCATCGAGCCCGTGATGGAACGCCGCGGCGCGTGTTCCATTCGCGTGTATTACGTTCGCTCTGAGGTCTCTGACAGGTCCGTTGATGACCCACCCCAGCTTGGTTCGTATGGCGTAAGGACCGTTCATTTGACTATGACGCACCTCCCACGGTTCCATAGCCTGCGGGACGTTGTTCCCAATCATTAACTCTATTCCAGCATTGATGCGGGGCATATCAATATCACTGAGGTACGGAAACTTACTGATGTCATGATATGTTGGAATATCGTCCTCCGATACAGGTATGTAACTAAGGGTGAAGATTGACGGAAGTGGAATATGCTCGTTCTCATCCAGGTCACTTAACATAAGTCCGTCGATCCTCTTGCTCAGCAATGTTTTCTTATGTGAATGAACAGTTGTGAGCTTCAATGTGATGGGCTTTGTGTCGGAAACGTGTAGTCTTTTGCAGAGTGATTCAGTACAGAATGAAGCCGAGCTGCCATTGTCTAGGAATGCATAAGTTTCCACACAGTGTCCAGTCCTGGTCCTTACTTTAACCGGTACAATCGCCATTCCACACGATGCTAAAGACGCCTCATTGATAATATCAACTCTAGCGTTTTTTATGGCTTCATACGTCGTCGTTCTTCGTGTGCTCTGTACCTCGCCTGGGGGCGAATGTAAGGCGGTAGCATGCTTCCCTTTACATTCGCGACATACACTACGATTTGTACAGCTTTTTGCTACGTGACCTTGGACCAGGCATCCGAAGCAAAGCGAATTGTTTCGGATAAACTCCCTTTTCACCTCCATTGGATTTTGGACGAAATGGGCGCATTCATCGAGAGGATGCATCGCTTTACACCACAGGCAAGGCACTGGCTGACCGCCGTGGTTAGCTGGACCAATATGAGCAGCAAGGCTGTAACGGTTCGCTGGTCCACTTCTTTGCCCTTCCGGCTTGCCTCTGGTGGCGGGGAACAGGTGGCGACCGAACAAAGGGTTTGTCGCAATCCTGGCTTCTCTTTCCACAAAATCTACTAAATCTTTAAAGGTGACTATTCTGTTCTTGTGTTCACGAACATCTTCAGCAAGCCGACGCCAACGGTCCTGAATGGTCGGCGGAAATTTTTCCAAAATTTTACGTATTGTTTTAGGGTGATCCAATTCCGAGGTTTCTGTAACCATGCCCGCCATGGAATTGTAGCAGGTGCGAAGAGCGATAGAAAAGTCATCCATGGCGTCTATTTCGTCCACCTTGATTGCTGGCCAGTTCAAGATTCTATCGACTGATCGTGCTGCAATTTTATACTGATTTCCATATCTTGCCTCGAGCAAACGTCTGGCTTCTTTGTATCCCTTGTCTTCAGGCATATGGAGACAGCCTCTAACAACCTCTCGAGGCTGGCCTGTTGTATATTGCTCCAAATAGTATAGTTTCTCGTCATCGCTTTGAACTTTATTGCAGATGAGGTGCTCGAAAGCGCGTATAAAAGATCGATAATATGCCACTTCCCCATCAAACTTTTCTATTTCCACTCGCGGAATGGTGCTTCTTTCAGTTAATCCCAACATTTGCGTGAATAGGTCAGGGGGTACAGTGGTTAGGTCATATGCCTGGGCTGTTGCTTCACTGCAAAAACTTGTCTGCTTGTGTGCTGGTGATTCAGTTTTAGTAGCAGTCAGACAATACCTGCCCTCAACATCAGTGTTCTGCCCCCTCGAGACCATGCCCTCGACACCTACACAATCTTCACTCATACTAGCTGCCGTAGCTTTATTCTCTCTGAAAAGTGTAGGACGAATTTCCCTTTGCGCCTCCTGCTTAGTAATTGATGGATTGACAGCTGTACTATTTTCGAGGTGAACCTGGAATTTTTCAAATTCTTTCTCTCGCGCTGCAGAATCCAATATTTGCATCTGCAGGTCGAGTTTCTCTTGTTGTAATTCTAGTTCGAGCTCCCGCTGTCTAGCTAACCTTGTTTCCTCTGTTAATCTCTGCTTCTCAGCAAGAAGCATCATTCTGGCTTCTAAACCCGCTCTTTTCGCAGCCTTGTTGGCTTGCTTGATAAACAGTGATTCCGATATGCAAGAGCCAGATTGCGCAGAGTGAACAGAGCTAGATAAAGATTCGGTAGATCGGTCCGCTTTTCTTATAGAGTTCGTGGAATACTGTAGTGAATTTGTCGATCTCGGCTTAGTGGAATCGTCGTCGGTGTCTGCCTCGGCCATAGCTGTCCGTAACCGGTGCAGAAGCGTCTTTTTGGTACCCCTTTGACTCAAACCTCTCTGACGCAACTGCTCACGCAATTCCGAAACTCTCAAATTGTCCATGATGCTTAGTCACAGTTCAGTTACACGAGACAGAGTGGGGTCGCTCCGTGGTGAACGCACCAAGCTTCACCTGCTAAATTTACCTGAATATATAAGCTCAAAACAGACGTTTCGCGATGAAAAACATTAGAACATAGATGTCTTGCTTTGCTCACTTAATCCAAGTACAAGTAACAACATAGCACGGGCATAATCACGTTTACTGCTAGTCTCTCAGACGATCTTAGTTCATGTGTCCGGATTTTCTGAGGTCACAATGTCGAAGTTTGAACTGCAGCTGCAGCAGCTCGTCACTTACTGTGGGTAGACGTCTGTCCAAACCGGCCGCGTGACGGTAGAGAGGATTTATCCTGATATGCTGCAGTCGGGGACAGATATTCTTGAAACTGTAGCGGCCCCACGTCCTCTTGACTAACGCGATGAACGTACTACATGTATTTCAACGGTTTCTGTCGGACAAACAAAATCATGACAATACAAAAGACGACAAACAAATAAAACTTAAATTCAGACGCAATTTCGAGCAAACACAAGCTTACACATACACATAAGCCATCAGGTCACCTAATGTAACAGAAATAACAACATAAAATAACGCAAACAACTACTCACCAAGAATATCATACAGACGCGGGTCGCTTTGTCTCAAATCGCTTCTTCGTATCGTTTTCGTTGTTCGTTTCGGTCACAGGTGTTTGTTTTGACGTCGTAGCACGTTTTACAGAGACAAATAACGTAAATAAACTTAACCAAAACGTAGCATACAATTTTCCAAATAAATAACTTAAGTCCTTACCGATCCATTCTAAGGGTCTACAAATTTAATCCACCACAAACCAAATAAAATTAGTGAAGCGCAAAATCGCGAGCTCGGCAGCATGTGCCGGTTATCGACAAAGATCCTCGCCGATAACACACGGTTTAATTGTTCCCTTCAAAATTTAAAAGATTAGCGCTCGTGAACAAAGGATGGCACCGAACCGCACTGGATTGCATGTCGGCGAACTGATGGAGAGGGGTGGACCGGTCCTGTTGTTTACTGTCCCCTATCGCCGCGGCGGGCGGCGGCGGCTGTCAGTGGGTGTCCTGCCGGGGTGGGTCCTCGCTGCCGCTTCGGCAACTCCTGCCTCTCGGCGCTAAAGCTAAGATCGCTCTCGCACGACTGCGGATATGGTGGCAGTCGCTAGGTTCGCGGGGCTCGTTGTCTGGTTCGTGGAAGCGGGAGGTTCCCCATTGTCGAACTGATGGTTGACCTTTCCTCCATGGTTCTCGGCCGGAACGCTGCAGCGCGCGCCTGAAACGCTCATGCAGTCGATGTGAAAGTGCAGGTTTTTATTGCACGAGCGCTGCACGTGGCTGCTGGTCGTGGAGGTTCCACAGTTTGTTAGCGAGGTTAGCTGCTCGGGTGATGCGGCGATAGGTGCCACACCCATGGTTAGTGGCACAGTGGAAACGTGATAGCATTGTGACACGTCTACATTGGAGAAGGGACGCAAAATTTCACTTTTTTCTAATATCGTAAACTCCGGTGATAACACAGCATTGGTATGGGTGCCGACAAAGGAAAAAAGAACTTATGTAGTTGGTAATGTGCTCCATATGTACCGTCCACGAAGAGTAACTTTTGTATTTATCCTCACTTCCTACGCCATCCCTTTTCCGTGCTATCTTAGCCTGCATGTCTGTGTACACTGATTAATGTGTTTCCCGTTCGATCATTATAATGTCGTATCCGTGCGCATCCGTATTAATTTGCTTGAACGTTTGATAGCGCCGATCGCCCTAATGCGATCAATGTCGGCGTCTGTGATCAGAGGCGCCGCTCATTATTCCATGCGTCCCGTCCCGTTTGATCTGTTTGCACGCGTTTCTGAGAGGGGGTGGCCGGGTTCCGATCGGGGCGCGCGGCGGGCCGGGTGGTGCGGAGCGAGCTCTCGACCTGCCTAATGTTGTCAGACTTCCAAGGTATCCAAATGGAGCGCGTCGACGACGAGGTGATGGGCAGCTCGCACTGCTGCATGGTGGCCATCGGCCGGCTGCAGATCACATCGGTACCGAGCGCCAGCGAGCTCACCAACGCCAACAACAGCAACGGTCAGTGAGCGCCCTTCTGCTACCGGCGGCGGGGCGGGGAGCTCGAACCTGAGCTGGGTCAGGGCTTTGCGGCGGTTCCTGTATAAGTGGTCGATGGTCATGCTGATCGCTGTGCTGCGGCGATGTGTATCATTGTCAGTTGTTAGCAAAAGATATAAAACAGCGGCTTTACTCGTGCTTGCGGTGTACCTTTTGTATGGGCCACTATTTTGTATTGCATCCTATTATTGCCTGGAATCACTGTAAGCCTCGTACCGGCTTATCGGTAACTCGGACAACTTATGATAACTGATGCCGTCAAAATACCCGATACTTAGACCAGTAGCTGGGTAACTGCCAGTCAGCAGGTATCTGTCAGAACCGCCGTCACATGAATGTTTGTCCCTGCAGAGTTCGTCAGTCGTCACGGCATGGACGGCAAGTTTTCGTTCGTGGACCAGCGCTGCCTGAACCTGGTGGGCTACTCTCCGCCAGAGCTGCTCGGAAAGCAGTGCTTCGACTTCATCCACCCCGAGGAGCTGACCAACGTCAAGGAAAACTTCGAACAGGGTCAGTTGCGGTACTCAAAGGGCTCCTTCTTATAGTGCTCTACTCTGATGCTTCGAAACGTAAACAAACTCTATTGGGCGCTTTGTTATGCTAGTTGGATTCGCTATCCATGCTTTTGCTTCTGTAGGCTCAAGCAGCTGTAGTGTAGTTTAACTCTACTTGCTCAAAGCTGCCAGGCTAGTTGATAGTCTGTCATCAGTTTGTTAGCTGCCAGGGTCACTGCTTTTCTCAATCGCCGGCCAGGCGCCGCTCGTATGCCAGATACGGCCTGCTGTAGTCGGTAGTACGCCCTCTGTATGCCGTAGCTGACCCCGCTCCGCCCGTCTGCAGTGATCAAGCTGAAGGGTCAGGTGATGAGCATCATGTACCGGTTCCGCTCCAAGAGCCGCGAGTGGGTATGGCTGCGCACCTCGGCTTTCGCCTTCCTCAACCCGTACACGGACGACATCGAGTACATCGTGTGCACCAACTCGGCCGTGAAGGCGGTGGGCAGCGGGGGAGGCGGCGGCGGCACTCCGGCCGCCTCGGCCGAGCCCGAGCACACGGCCGACCCGTACAGCCAGCCGCCCGGCCTCGACTACTCGATGCAGCGCTACCAGCACATGGCGCACGTGCAGCAGGCGCAGCGGCCCAGCAGCACGCACACCGCCTACAGCTACGACGCCACGCAGAGCCCGCTGGGCTACTCGCCGGTACCGGCGGCGGCCGGCGGCCGGCAGCTGCAGCAGCAGCAGCAGTACAGCCAGATGTCGCCGGCGCGCTCCCCGGGCGGTGCCGCCAGCTACGTACCACCGCCGCGGCCGCCGCTCACCCCCGGCCAGTACCCGGCGTCCAGCGGCGCGGCCGGTGGCGGCCTCTGGTACCCCACCGAGGCGGCCGGGCCGGCGGCCGGCGGCGGCGGCGGCGCCGGCAGCCCGGCCGTGTCCGCAGCCGGAGCGGCAGCGGCCGCCGCCGCCGCAGCCGCAGCCGGCCAGCCGCAGCAGGAGATCTCCGACATGCTGCAGATGCTCGACCAGCCGGCCGCCGGCTTCGAGGACCTCAACATGTTCAACTCGACGTTCGAGTGAGCGTCGCCGTCTCGAAGGGGCCGCCGTCTCTGAGCGCACACCAATGGACACAGTCGCGGCGGGCGCCGCCGGCCGCCGGGACCCGGCGCCGCCGAGCAGCCGGGTCACACAAATATCTCATGCATTTCATGCTACTTAACTGATAGACGTCTGCCACGTGAAGCGTTTTAGGTACTAACAAGTGTACGTGCGTGTGTGTGCGTGTGTTTTGTATGATGCATTGTATTGTGTGGCGATGGCACCCAGGCCTGCCCATGCCCGTATGTCACAAAGTTGTGCGCGCGACCGTTAGACAATTTGTACGGGCGCTGCAGGACCGAATATCGCGCAGCTAATGTCACCTTTGGTCAGCGTTCCAAGCCGGTGCGTATTTGATATACTGCACATTTTCGTACGGATCATTGTACACGTACGGATGATTGTACAGCCCGTGCGATTTGGCAGCCAATGGTAACGGTGGACTTGAATGAATCTCAGCAGTGAACAAACGTGCGCTGTAGCTGTTAGACGAGCACTATGTAAGCTTAAGGCGGTTCACAACTACAGCTTAATTATTCTTCGTCACGGTCTTTTTGGGCCTCTTATATTCTGTGTTGAAATTCCGCAACCAAGTTGCCCTTAGTGCATCATATGTTTTTGTTATGTCTGCTCTGAATATTTATCTATTTTGCGACTATTTTACTGCATTCTCCCTTTACGACATAATAGTTGGCATGTCACCCGTGGTGAGGTTTTTACGGTCGTTTCGACCGTGGCGTGTGCCTGCGATGCAGGCGGTCTCCTCTTTGTACTGTATTCCATCCAGCCATTTACCTATCTCCTGACTGCTAATAGAACAACGACATGCCGAACAAATGCGGTGAAATGCTGAATATATGCACGATCTGTGTCCGGTGTTTCCTTGTGCTGTGCACGCGGCCTAATGGTCAGCCTCTCGAGGTATTATATGCACTCAGAATTCGCCTTTACTGGCCCCAACTTTACTTCCTAAGCGAACACGAAAGGCTACGACATGCATATTTCATGATTGGTAGCTGAATGTCGTGATGTCGGCAATACACAGACCGCCGCCAGTCGGTGGGCATGGTCTGATGCGCAAGGAAAAGACAAAGTATTTTCAGACAGAAGAAAATACACTCACTGAATGGCTGTTTATATGATCATGATCATGAATGATCATGATCATGAATTTACATGAATGTAAAGTAAAGAGCTCGTTTGCATCTGCAAATGCTGACAATTTATGGTTGTCAGCCATGAGTAAGCGAGTTATTTACAAACTTTTCCCTGATTCTGCTTGCGTTTGGAATAGATGAGATTTTATCTTCAGATAGCACGTTTCCTGTGAAGACACGTTTCCTGTGTAGGTATAGCGTGCTTTCTCGTTGTACACACATTTTCACTTGCCATCAGGCTATCGGTGGGACCCGTGGAATGGAACAAACTAGCCATTTGTTTAAGCGGTTTCTCCAGATGGTGCGCCATTAGATCTGCCCTCATAGGTTCAGCCTGGCGAGCGCGAGCGCGACCCCGACCCAGAAAGCCGAGAGGTATGAAAGATCAGGGAAGGGGATTGACAAGTCCAGTCGATTTGGAAGCCGGCTTTAAACCATTAAATTAAACCATTAGATTAAACCATGAACAGGAACTGCCACAAAAGTCATAGACCACAGATGCTTCGTGTGCACTGTGCTAAGTGCGTTAGCTGGGGACCTCGACGAAGTCGCCCACTCTCCCCTTCGCCGCCCAGAGCCACCTGTTGGCTATGACCACCACTTCAGCTTGCTAGATGGCAGCCGCGTCGCCGGTCCGACTCTCGTGGCTCGAGGTTTGGCCGCAGCAGGCGAGCGCACTGCAGTCGACACCAAGGGTCGACACCAGTGAACACTGCAGTACTGCAGTGACATCTTGCCATTCCCAGTTTCCAGCAGTGCATCATACTGACGTTCATAAAAGAAGCAGTATGCGGCGACATCGACACGATGGCATGTGGGTACATTGTAGGTACCTACACTTAAAAAGTTAAAAGGTATAGTCACTGAACAGTGGTATAGTACAAGTTTTCGTAAGACCAATTCTGATTATGGACTATGCTCAGGACATGGGGTATTTTCCTTTCCTAGGAAGTGGGCCTTGCACTCCACGACTTATGCCGATGTTTTTTTTTTCTCATGAATCTTTGCCCTGGCATTGCCTCGGTGCCTTAGAAACATATTTGTTTCACCATATGCATATATTTCCTAAGAATCTGAGAAATCAGATGACTATGGACTGTAATACATTCGCCATCCTCTGAAGAGCCACAACTGGAACGTATCCGAAAATTGCAACGCTTCCCTCTGTTATGTGAACGGTTCCTTTTTTAAAAAGATTGGAGGCGGTGGAGCCAATATCGTCTCTGGCCGTTTGCGGCTCTCCCCTTGGTGATAATGGGATGCTGAATCGCCACAGACTGTGATCGTGTTATCGCCGACATGCCCTCACGTTCAAAGATATGGGACACATTGTAATCGACGTGTTTCCCCTGTAGCCATCGAATAAGACGGCAGAGATATTTCCAATGATCGGGTTTCAGCTAATGCCGAGAAAATGCTGCTCAAATGCAAAACGGATCTGTTGTTCAGAACTCGTTTTTATATTCCAATGGCTTGGAGGATTATCGAGTAGTTTCCGAAACAGTTGCCTAATTTCAGAATTGCATCTGGTCCAATGCATAAAGGGTTTTCGACCGACTCGACTGTTGCAATCAATCTAAATGATTATCCTGTATCCTATCCATTTCAGCATCACCAACACCGCCCTTCACCTGGGCGACTCCTGAGCGGAACGGCAAGCCCAGCTGCTCCCAGAGCCGTGAACGTCACTCGTTGTCCGGCTGAGGATCACCCGCTAACTGGCTGAAGGCACTGAGCGGCTGAGCCAGTGTCGCGGCACGCCACTACCTAGCCTCTCACATCTCCAGTCGCTCCCAGACCCGTCCGGTGAGTACCTTCTTGCTGCTTGTGTGCAGCACGCATCCTGGGCCTGACCGGGAGTGGGCTTGCTTCAAAGTACCAACCACACATTGCTCGCTGTTTATGCATTATTTCATGGTATGTCCTGAAAATAGGCTTGTTGGTGCCTCTGGCCTCATTCTTTTACACCATAACCGCAATGCTATTTTCTTTGCTCATTAGCAGTTCTTCGTAATTTACAATCAGCGAAAAGTTAACCTTTTATATCATTCAGTTAAAATATATTCATGCATTTATGTTACTCATCTTTCCAAACTAAATTACTACATAGTGTAAATCATATGGTTGCACATTTTACATAGTACTTCCCGTTCCATAAATATGAAGATCTTGAATGTGCATCTAAACATTATGTCCAAATTCATTCGAGCGTACAGCGTTAAATAACCTCAAAGCACCGACACTTGCGCTGCATATTGTGGCCGCGGTCGGAGTCCTGGAGGATTAGTGGGGCTTGTTTCGGTCGGCGGTGGTCGCCGGTGATGGCCGCACGGGTGCCCGACCGGCGGAGGTTCGCCTCAATATCGCCAATATCGGCTCAGATTGAGCCATCGGCGCCAACCGGTACGGCGGCCAACTTTGAAAAACAGCCGGTCCGCTGCCCGGCGCGGCACAGCTGGTGGGTACGCACCGGACCACCTGATGGCAAACCGGGGCAGATGGAGGGACATGGACGGGCGCCCGGGCTTCGGCAGGCGGACAATTAGTCCTGTTGCTTTTAGTTCTGTGAGGGATAGTTCAGTCCATTACGTAGTTATCGCATTGCTCTTTGATATAATTTTAAACTCTCGGCACAAGCCACTCAAACACTTGCATCACATTAATTCATTGTATTGAAGCTGTGAAAGCTTACAACAGGACAAACACAGCGGCATGCATGTGATAATCAGTAACGTATGGTAAACTTTTATTGGTCACATCTAACCTGGCCCTCTCTTCCGCAACAATTTGGTTACATATGCCCGCGAGTCTCCGTAGTCACGCTACGGTATGAGATGGTCTTATTCCCCAAACTCTTATACAATTGATGCCGAGCAACGGCTCAAGGATTCCGTTCTGCCACACCATCCGGAGTTCATGGTTCCAGGAACCCAACCGGCCAACATCACACGAACAAGCATGGATAACAATGTACATTAACGACACCGTGCGTAGATATTTTCAGATAAGGATGGTCTGTGGCATGCTCCCTTTCTACGAAGAGCGATTGAAGTCCCGCTCGTGTCATCCTATAGGGATTTGCTGCATGATGGAAGTTAAAGTTCTCTCCGAAGTGCGCACACACCTGCACACCCTCATACGTATGGCACGATCATTCGCTCGTGAGGAAGCACTCACGCACATTTCATGTGTACGATTCGCGACGCCAAGCGAGGACAGGTCACCTATCGCTATCCAAAGGGAAAGTCAAGGCTCAGCAATTAGAGGGCAGATTGAGGATATTTAAAACTGGTGACTAGTTGGTTTGTAATTCGTATAGGAATAAACGTCGTTGTTAAACAAGACGGTTTTGGATCTTGAAGAGCGGGTTGCTTCTGAAGCAAAACTCGGACCGGGTACGGGGTATCTGTCTTTTGTGAATGGTGGTGACCGCCGCGGACATGTAACCGTTATGGAGCGGCTGGTCCACCCGACCTGACCCGACCCGACCTAACCCGACCTAGCGTGATCTGCCTCACACCGCGACAGTCGGTGAGGCAGGCCCGGCACTTGTCCGTCGACCGCCAACCTATGACTAAGGTCCGTCAGCAAACCTGTTCATGGCGAGTCCGGCTGTCCCATGCTCGGCTCAACGTCCTGACTGCTGTGTCGGCTGAACTTGTCTATTGACCAACAGTGACCCCTGATCGAGCTTAATGCAATATTAAGCATTGACGATCATTATCGCGCTCCATCAGTTCCATGTCGTTTCTCTCAGCATATTCTCAACGCACACCATAGTTCTAGTTACCGTCTTCTCCGTTTTTACCAGTGAGCACACCATCCTACCGTTCTGCCTGGGTCTACCGACTACTGGTGACTAGCCTCTGTCCTGTGTTCAACGACAGTCCAACGACAAGTCAACTGCATCGCCACTCATTCGGTCTTCGGCTCTGCTGTATCACATGTATGACGTTCCCGTCCCCAGCACGATACCCGTGTGTTCACTGTCGCTCCTCGCTGGTTGAGGAGTCACACTCTAACCGCTGACCCTGCGGAGGTCGCGGTGCCCCTGACGAACCCTCACCAGTGCCGGCGGTCGGGGACGCTCGGTCTCAGCAGACTGGAGGACAGGAGTGCTGTGACCATCAGCAGCAGCCAGGGTCCGGCGGCAGCCGCTCCGGAGCTGACCGGCTCCGCGCCGGCTCCAGGCTCGCTCCCTGTCTCCCGGCTGGGCTGACGCTGCCGGCCGCCGGCCGTCCGACGCCGACCTCCCTCCTCTCCGGCCGAGAACGGCGGGTCTCTCCGCGCTCCGCGGCTCTGGTCCCGCTCCAGGCCGGTCCGCGGCGGCGCCTGCTCCTCGCCGGGCGTCTGGTAGGTGAGCTCTGTGTCCACCTCAGCCGCCGGTGTACCCGGCTCCCTCGGCCGGATCTCTGCTGGTGGCAAACGGGCGGCCGGTGAAGTCAGCGGTAGCAACAGAGCTGCCAGAGGCGAAGCGGCAAACGGCTGGAGGTTGGCGTGACAGTTCATTGGCTCAAGATTTGGGTGTTCAAGATTCTCGCAGTCTCTTGAATCCATTTTGTGTATGCAATTTGGTATTTGGAATTATTAACAAGATCCAGAAAAGTAAAACCTAAGAAAACGATTTATTTCCCCTACGGCTATGATGCTCGCTCATCATGTACCAGGTACCTGTATGGTGGTCATTGCTGTGGGTCGCCCTACTAACCGTACC